CATTTCCAAATTTTTGTCCAATATTTTTGTGTTTACGGGCAGGTCCACCATATGTGATAATAAGTCCCTTGTACTTTTTTTTACACTTTCAGTGGGTCGGCTTCATGTTTGGGTACATTTTAGCCAATCTTGTTGGTGATAAATGCCAACGATAAAATTGCATTCCAATATAACCGAAAGAGCTCTTGAGATTCTAAATGAAATCTTGAGACTGTCTTAGCCCTCTGTCCCGATGCAAAATAAAGTAAAAATACACTGCCTTTGAAAGTGTGAGCCTGCAAAATTAAAGGAAGGCATGTGGCTAAGCATTTTTGGGACGTTCTATTTGAGACGGCACCATGCCTTTCGGGATAGGGGGTAAGCTGGCTAGAAATAGGTGAGCATTTGATTGCTTAGTGGAAATGCAGAGGGAGCTGTTCCTTCTTCTCTGAAGCAAGAGTGTCTGTGTTAAGTTAACCTTCGTTTGTTTCTCTTTTTCTCTTCTGCAGGACCTGGGCTGGCTTTTATTGCCTATCCAAGAGCTGTCACTCTGATGCCAGTTGCTCCCCTCTGGGCTGCCCTCTTTTTCTTCATGCTGCTTCTTCTGGGTTTGGATAGCCAGGTGAGACTTTAAGGGGGAGGGACAATAAGCAGGAAGTGGATGAGTAACCAACACCATAATGGCAGGAGATTCATTATCCTGCCTTCAACGTCTTCGCGTGGCGTTCTCCAGTCTCCTTACTTCGCTTCTCTTCCCCTTCCTCACCAGTTTGTAGGCGTCGAAGGCTTTATAACTGGGATCCTGGACTTCTTCCCATCCAGTCATGCCTTCCGATTCCAGAGAGAGATCACCGTGGCCATATTCTGTGTCGTCTGCTTCTTCATTGAGCTGTCCATGGTGACTGAGGTACGACCACCACTGAAGCACCCTTAGAGGAATTAGAAGGGGAGGGGAAGGCGGGTGAAGAGGAGAAAGAGGGAGATTTTGGACATTCTGGCAGTTACCAACCAAGGCAGTATTGTAATGAATGGGAAAGTCATGCTAATGGGTTTGCGACAGTGGTGGGTTTCAAAAATTGTTTGAACCTGCTCTGTGGGTGTGGCCTCATTTGTGGGAGTGGCTTGCCGCCCATGTGACCGGATATGAAGATGNGTCAAATCTATAAGGAAATAGAAGAGAGAAATAGCAAGCATCTAATAATTTGGGGAAAATTCCCTCCTCCCGCATCTCATTGAGACAAAGAGTCAACAGCTGCTTTGCTTGGAAGTCGCTTTCCCTTCTCCCCTTCATGGGATAACTCACTCCGTTCCTGTTGCTTGTTCTGAATGCTCTGCGGCCTCCTTACCCAACCTGTCCTGCTGCTAGTCCATAACATCTCCTCGAATCTGTCTCTAAAGTCCATGCATGCAGTGTGAAATGCCCTCAGCCTCCCTTTCTTTCCTCCTCAGCGGCTGCTCGTGCTGGGCTCCAAGGCACAGCCTGTCTTATAAGCGCGCTCATCCTTGCAAAAAGCAACTAATCCTCTTTCCACCTTGCCCTGCTTTCCTCCGTAGAGAAAAACACCTTTTGATTCTCTCTCTTCCTTCCCACAACTCAGCCAAAAACTCTTTCGTAACGATGGGTGGATGCGCATAACAAACGGGCCACCGTATCTTGCTGCTGTTTCGTTAAGAGCCCCGTCCCATGCAGGATAAGACATGTTTGTAGTCTGATCTCGGTGTCCAAGATTCTGTAACACTGAGCTACGCACTTGCCTCTTGTTACCTGAACGTCAGGTGTAACATAGGGAGCATCAGCTGGGAAGCTGTGCTTGGTATGGTTTATGCTGAGGGATAACCGCAACAAAGCCCCTTTTTGTCGGATCGCCCTTTCATAGTTGTCGTCCTTTTGTCTTTTCTCCCCTGCAGAGATGCCATCATTCTGGCACTAATTAATAGTGGGACCAGCTTCTTCTCCGGTTTTGTAGTCTTCTCTATCCTAGGCTTCATGGCTGCAGAACAGGGAGTTGATATCTCTAAAGTGGCCGAATCTGGTGAGTGCTCATGAATTTCAGGGATGGTAAAGCAGGTTAGATGAGATGTATGGCTGTTCTCCAATACTGGGAGAAGTACAATTTTAGGAGGAAGTCAACACATTCGCGGGCAGGTGCAGAACGTGGTTCGGTTGCCTGGATTCTTAAAATTACACCTGTGCCTGCAACTACACCTTCTCCTGCTATTCCAGAATTGTTTGATATGCTCCATTTTTTATCGTTCCCTCCCATCCTATCAAGAAGACGATCAAGGGGAAAGATGAACATAATTGGAACTACCCCTGTGGATCCGGTATTTCCAGACTATAGCAAAGGCATAACACCTCACCGCAGGGACACAATTTAGAATTGGACTTGTAACACTGAACAGGGTATTCATAGAGTTGCATGTCTATACATTCTAGGAAAACTAATAGTTTTCCTATTAGCGGTCTCGTTTTGCCAGAATGGGGAAAAAAACCCCAACCCTTGGCTTTCATTTCGAAGCAAAATTGCATTCCTTGTTTTCTTTAATGACAGATTTTTTTATTATTTTTTCCCTTCTACAACACCTTACAGCCATTACATCAACATTGTTATGTCATCATACCTGTACATGTATATAATATTNTTTTCCAGCAAGCCAGCCTGGCCTGAACAAAACAAAACAAATTATTGATCATTGTTAATTTTAATTCAATTTTTTAAATAAAATGTTACTGTCAATTCTAATTGGGTTTGTTTGGGATATTCTATTTATTTTATTTTTTATACTTTTGTATTATGTGTTTCTTTTAATGTTGTACACCGCCCTGAGTCCTTGGGAGAAGGGAGGCATATAAATCTAATAAACCAAATCAAACCAAAATGTAATATATAAATGGCTGGCATTAAAAAAATAAAATACTAAAACAATTCTGATGTAATAAGTATGTAATGAATCTGTAAATGATTGGAAGAAATGCTTTCAAAGAATTAATGCAATTATCAAATCATATCAATCTGTATGAACATTATAGGCCACCATAGATAATGCAATTACAACAGCAAATAGGAAATCAGATTTTAACTCACCATCTGTAGGGCTCAGTCCCCGAGCAGCTGAGATCATGGAGAGAGAAGGGCTGCTGTGCAATGATCTGATATAATCCATGTAAGGATTGATGTATGGATGAGGTGGACTAAAAGGAGATTCTGATGCTGCAGCAGAATTTCTGTGGGGGGATATTCTGATGAATGGTAAGTCTGAATAAGCTGGAGCAGAAGGCCTATAACAGAAAAGGATAAAATGGTAAATTTATTTGCTTTTCTAGGTAAATACAGCTTCCCTACTTTTAAAGTTATATCTATAATTATGATCAAATTGTTAATTAAATAGAACACATAAGTTTAATTGAACCCACTTTCACTTGTGCAGTGGAACATCTCTGAGTTTTTCTCCACGCTTTCAATGCACCCTGGAAATCTATTCAAAGCAGATCTGTAGGACATATAGCAGTGATGATGAACCTTTTCAGCACCAAATGCCCAAATTGGAACATGTGCATGTGTGTGTGCATGCACGCATCAGAAACTCAAAAACCAGTTGGGCGGTGCACAGGTGCGTGCTGGCCACCTGGTCTTCTGGTTTCTGGCTCACACACATGTGCTGTTCAGCTGATCTTTACACATGCCAGAACCCCGGAACCACAAAGACCAGCTGGCCGGTGCGCATGCAGCTCCCTTCGGTCAACATTGGGTCTGGTGGCTGCAGTGGTTGAGGGACGAAGACTCAGAGGGAGCCAAGCCAGCCGGCATCATTGTTGTAATTCAATCTGGATGGTGACAGCCATTGGGGCTTTTAGTGGCTCCTCTAGTAGGCTCCCTCCGGCCTAGCCCCAGTTGTTGGGTGCTGGCTGTGCGCATCTCAGCCAGGCACCCTTTGCTGTCGAACCGGCCCACCACATACACACACTGGTCACCTGGTCTTTGGGGTTCTGGCACAAGCAAAGATCAGTATGCATGTTGGAAGCCAGAAGAGCAGCTAGCGATGGCACACATGACCACAGAGAGAGCTCTACGTGCCACCTCTGGCATGCGTGTCATATGTTTGCCATCATGGATATATAGACACTGAGGCAAGATTAAAAATCAAAGAACACTAGTACGCTTTAAGGAGTACTTAATCCAAATCAATGTACAGATATTTTATCTTGTTTAAAATCAGATCAAAAGTAAACTACTTTAAATTATGCAATAATTTTCACAATTTTAGAAGTCAATTCAAACACACACACACACACACACACACACACACACACACAATTTACTTTCAGCCTTGAACATAAGATAACAAACAATCTTTGTGAAAGGGGGAAAGCAGAATGAAATTTAGTGCATTGTAAAACCCCATTCTTGTGCTTTGGAAAAAACATGGCAATAAGAATGTGTTCCACATCTCTACTTTCTACTGAATTAATTCTGTGTTCCCAGAGATAAATATCTCAACGCTCTACAACATGCAGTTACATTTAATATTATGAGTTAACGTCCATAAAGGCTATGTCATGATTCCACATTCTGAATATCAAATATTCCTGCCATACAGTTAATTTCATTAATAATAATGTGATGTCAAATTTTTGGTTCATTTACATCAATTTCTCAAAAGTAACTAGGTACAGTTCTCATTTTCCTCAAAAATCTTCTATTTCACTTCCATACTTATATTCTCAAACTCATATTTTTCTGTTTATTAACTAGTAAATGGACATTGTACTTTAGTATATGTCAAAAAATTCTTTACCTCTTATAGATTGCTGACTGAAAGCAGAATTAAATCTGCAGAATCATAAATTGAATGTCAAGCCTGAATTTGATGGGGTATGGGATTGTTTGTATCCTTGGGCATTCTGACATGAATTCAGTTTGACATAGGTTGGGGCTGAAGGGGGATGATCATTCCTAACTGATGAGTCAACCACATCCCAATGTTTGGCTGACCAGAGGAAGCGAGAATAGACATCGCTGAGCAACCAGTTCCCATCTTGATTGGACAATGTGAGAGTTGTTTTGAAAACTTGAGAAAACTGAATCTTATATTGGGGTGAAAAGCCTGAGAACTTTAGTACTGGTTTTTCACCAGTTAGTGCCAATATGGCTCAAATCCCTCTGGGCTTTCATCCCTCAACCACTGCAGCCACCTGACCCAATGCTCACCAGAGGGAGCTGCAACGCCAGCAGCGGTTGGCTCAGCTCACCATGGGACTTTGTCCCACAACTGCCATGGAAATGGGGCCCGATGCTGGCCAGGGGAAGATATGACATGCAATGCAAGGGGCTCAAGTCACTGGGGCCCTTCATTCTTGTCTCGTTGCAGCTGCCAAAGCCGACCCAGCCTCCCTGCTTACAGGCTTCCCCTCCAATCCATAAAGGCCCGCAGCCGAGGCAGCGGCTTAGCCAATGTGTTCTCCTGCAGCTGGGAGAAGCTCCTGCTATGCCTATCTGATGAGTCAGGTGGGGCCATAAAAGCCCTGACCTGCCAAGCTCAAATGAGTCAAGCCCCGAGGAGCCGAAGATCGATGGTGGGGCCTGTCCCCACCCGCCTGCCACTTCTCCCCAATGGCCAGCTGCATGTCAAGTCAAAAGGCAGAGGCAAGATTCCGGCATTCACCAGGGACACAAGAGAAGCAGTTTTGCTTTATCTCTTTCTTAGTGACCAGCAGCATTTGACGAATGATACAAAGAATACATGCGAAGTCGGTTCTAACCCAGTTAACCTTACACCCAAATATATACACATAACCCCTCCCATAATCAACCATATGCCACAGCCCCATCCCACCCTACATGAAGCCGTGCCAAACCCCGCCCGGAGTCCTTCCACTCCCCCTCGTGAAAGCAGTCCAAGCCAGTCCAGTGCAGTCCAGCCAGGGAATACCCGCAGATCAGTCAGAAGGTGGCCTTGAACAAGCCTCCAGCTTTTCTCTTAGGCAAACAGCTCCTGGAAAAGGAACATTCTCGGCTGATGATGTCATCGCTCAACCAGCTGCAACTCAGGGAGTGGAGGAAGAGCACTGAGCCATGCTGCTGCTCTGAACGAGTAAGGGAGGAAGCAGCCAGGATAGACGGGGTAGTGCTGGGCTGGGCCACACTGCTGCTTCAGGAAGAGTGGAGGTGGAAGCAACACTTGGACTGGCAGCCTAAGGGCTGACACAGCCTCTGAAATGCTGACTTGTCAGGAGGCCCCTCCCCCTGCAGAGCGAAGTGGAGGAAGCACTAGAGCAATGAGACTGATGTTTCCTTATCAGAGACAGCATGGGGGGAGGTGGTGAGGAGATCCTACCTGGCAAACTGAGAAGCAGGGGAGGCAGCAAGAAAACCCTCCACAGCTGGCTGAGGAGCCGACAAAGCAGCCAGAGCACCCTGCAGATAGCCCCAGACCAAGACTCCTGACCCCGTGACACAGAGGAGGAGGAAAGAAGGGGGGAAATTTGCCTGGGAGGCTGAGAGGGCAGGAGAGATCTCCTGCCTCCCCCCAGTGAGTGCGAAGAGAAGCCAGATGTTTATAAAAGCGATGGTGAGTGAACCAATATACCCCTTCATTATAAAATTGAAGATAATAGCAATAGCAATAGCAGTAGACTTATATACCGCTTCATAGGGCTTTCAGCCCTCTCTAAGCGGTTTACAGAGTTAGCATATCGCCACCACAGTCTGGGTCCTCATTTTACCCTCCTCGGAAGGATGGAAGGCTGAGTCAACCTTGAGCC